GAAGAGTATGCCCATCCAAGCCATGAGCAGCCAGTTTCTCCAGGAGAATGCTGTGGGAAACGGTGTCAAAGGCTTTACTAAAGTCTAGGTAGACCACATCCACAGCCTTTCCCTCATCCACTAAGTGGGTCACCTTGTCATAGGAAGAGACCAGGTTAGTCAAGCAGGACCTGCCGTTCATAAACCCATGCTGACTGGGCCTGAACACATCAAATTAGCATTTACTCATGTGGCCCTTTGCCCTAGGGCCAGTGTAGCACACATAACAATAACTGATAGACTCAGCATTGCACTTTGTAGTTTCTTTGCCCTCTTTAGTTCTTATAATCTTATAATTTTTATGTGTAGGAGTAAAATATACTGGAATGAGGAATTCATTCTTCAGCAGAAATATGTGAGCACAGTCAGCAACTTTTCCTCAGGAGATAATGCTTATAATTGTCCAAATAGAATAGGACTCTTCAACTAAAAGGAAGGTGTCTAGCAAGGTGGAGGAGAGAGGTCAAAAAAGCCTAAAAAAGGTGAACAGGTTAAAGTTATTTCTCATAATTTAATTGGGTCCCTATCCTCAATTCTTACACTTATCTGGCAAATTTAAGGCAAACAAAACAAAGTACTTTCCGTACTGCACATACTAAAATGGTGGAACTCATTGCTACAGCAGGGTCTGGACACAGACTCCAATCAGGCAGTGCTCAGGTGTTGCCAGAAGCTAAGAGGGCATACAAGAGGGAGAATCACTCAGAATTTGCTTTGTTTCTAATTTTTTTCCCCCTCGAACATATTCTGTTGACCTTTCAGTAGCAGCCAATTTACTCTCCTCTTCTGAAACATCTGCACAAATAGGAAGGAGGCTGAGCTATTACTAACCCCTACTTTGCTGAGGTCTGCACAAGTCTTTCTCTGCAAATTGATTTGTTTTAAAAGGGAGAAAGAAGTCTTATTTATTCTTTCTTTCCCTTTGAAGTTCCCCGATATCATTTTACAAATAGCAAAGACAATTGGACCAATTTCTTCAGCTGAAGAGCTTCTATCAACTGTATTTGAATCTGTCTCCAATGCCACTGCCAACACTGAATCATCTCTCAGCAGACCTGGTCAGTATTTCACCTGGTATCTGTGCGAAGTGCCAGATTTACAATGGTACCATTTTGGGCTGTGATGGTGCAGTTCAAACAGACTTGTTGTTTCACCTTGTCATCAAATACATTCTGAGAAGCCAGAAAATAAAAAGTAAAGCATTGAGTAACTTGAAGAGGTTCAGACTTCTAGCAAAAACAGTGAGAGTCTTCGTTCTGTTGCCCATAGTTGTCTCATGCATTGACCAATTGCTGAAACACTTAATTTCATTACAGGATTGTATGATTAAACATCTCCTGGAATGTTCCTGAGTGCGCAAAGAAAAAAGATGAACTATTTGAATTAGAGGGTTTTGTTTATTTTTACTTTTTTGTTTATTTTTACTTTCCTTTGTAATCTAAGTGAAAATCCTTGAATTAAAAAGCTGTGAAGGTGACAAGTTACTGTTGTGCCAAAAGATTGCACATAGTTAATCCTTTGCCAGACATGAGCATATGTTGACTCGGCTGTTCTTAAATCTGACATTGGTGGCACTGTGTTTTGTCTGTCCAAACGGACAAAGTTTGTAATAATCTAAAAGGTATTTTAATTAGCAACCAAACTAATCTATTAGAATCTCTGGTAACAAATGGATCATTTTCTTTGTATAAGGTACATACTTTGACTATATTCTACTATTATAATAACTGTATCCTTTCTCTTACTTGAAATTCACCCAGGCAGAATTTTTAAGCTATGCCATCCTGTGCCATGGAAAGCAACCCTGCTGTGGGGGAGGCTTTTGAAAGCACTAATGGGAATTTAGACCCCAACAATTTCAAGGAGTTTGGTACCGTCTGCCTTTATGTCTTTGAAAACCTCCCCATTGGTTCTCTGCCTAACAGAATACAGGTCCAAGCTCTCAGCAAGCCCTGAGGCACCATGGAAATCCGTCTGCTTGTATAACAGCAACTCTGAATGATGACTGTGTCCCTGGGAATGAATTTGCTCCTGATAATGCTGTATCCATACACAGAGAGAGACAGAGGATGTTCTACAGAGTTGTATTTTTGCATAGCCTGAAAAAAACCATGACCTCTGTTGATCAGAGGAGTCATTACACAATTATCATGCTCTAAAAAAGCAGAATCGAGCTGGTGGAATAGCAGAGTATTAGTCCATCTGTATGCATGAAATTCACTCTTCCTTGAACAAGTAAACCATCAGATCATAAATCATATTTCTTTAGACACAGGCCACAGGACTAAAGGTTCAGCATCAGGTATTTCAGTATGCTTGTGTCCTTATGTGTGCTTTTTTAGGCCTCTGGATCACAACAACGTGAAGCCCGAAGACTTCTCTAATCAGACTAACTCATGTCCAGTGCAGTTGCGGAGCTGTCTCATCTTCATTGCAAGACCATTATAAACCTGCCAGTGAAGCTAATGATCTTTGTCAAAGGATCACTTGGCTCTAAAGCTATGGAGGCTTTTCATTCTTCACTCAGGGTGCATGAGTTCAGCTGGGGGGGAGTCTGGGAGATGAAAAATTGAAGGATTGTTTGTGCTAGTCTAAGAAATACTTCTGCAGTCCAAGTGTGCTATTGAAGTTCTGTTACCAAACATAATCTTATCAACTGCACACAACTCACATGGTGGTTTCAATAAGGAATGAAGTTTTATGACTGATTTGTAAATCACTAGAAAATTGGGTATTATGAAAATGGCTCTAGAATAACACTGATGCTCTTCATGCTACCAACCTGCTATTTTACATTTCCCACAGTCCAGTTCTGAGCTAATATTAACAACAGTAACAATTACCAGGGACAGAGTTCTTACATCTATGTCTACATCAAGATAAAAACAAAGGTGGTGCTTAAGGTAAGATGGAACATACGAGGCAAAACTCAGGAACCGTGTGTCCGAGATGCTACCAGCAAGCAGTGGCAGTGCTGGAAAAAGAATTCAAGTTGCTTACCTCAAGCACTGAGATGTTATAATATATTATATATATAATATGTCCTTCAACAAACTAAATGTGATTATATAGCAAAAGGAAGAGTGAAGTAGGATCAGATACAGGAAGCAAAGCCAGGAGTCTAATTAGGATTTCCCTCTGTAATCGTGCCAATGTATCTGGTGTGTTACAAAGAATAAAATCAATGTTTTTTTCCAAGAACACAAAATATTAGGTTTTCATGACTTGGGGAAGGGAACTGCATTGTGTCTGGATGGGTAGTATTTACATGATAAAAGCTGACCTTTTGCAGCAGGGGAAAGTGAAACAATGCAGCTTCACAAGAGGGCGGTGTAAAGGGAGAGCAGAACATCAGCTGGTACAGTGGAAGCTGAACAACATTTTCGTTTGCTCAACAGATTCAATCTTTTCAGTGTTCTACCCACTACTGCAGCTTCCTTTGATTCAAATAAATCCCTCCTCTGCCTCCTTTCAAAGTACAAATCTACTTTGTACATCCTCGCTTTAATTTATTTATCTGGGGGAGCTTAGCTCAGACACAGCATCTGTGAAATTCTTGCTTTTTACTGGTAATGACCGTATCTGAAGACATGTAGGGATTACTTGGTTTAGGTAATTATTTAATAAGGTTTTCCTAAATTAGTGACAGGAGAGAGAACAGTAAGCAACCACCTTAGGATTCTAATTTTTGCTTTCCATCAATATTAGAGGTAGATTATGCCAACAAAGACCAGGATTTGTTAAAACACACAATGGAAACTGTGTCATTTGATCATGCATAGGGCCAGAGCCTCACCGTAAATCACATTTTTAAATGGAGTTTGTCTGTCCAAACAGTTCTGTTCTAAGTGAACAGCCCTCTCTAGATCCTGACATTTTAACAACATGCTTGATGTAAAGAACAAGCACCGTGCTTGTCTGACACATCCAGCTTCTGTCTTCACCTTGTTTAAATGTCAGGCAAGTCTTATAAGACATACGCCTTTGTCAGGGTATTTCAGAGTAAAAGGACCTCTCATGTCTGTTACTTTCCTGTTGAGCTGGATTCACATCTGTGCTGTTTGAACGTGGAGAAGTTTATTCAGCTGCAACATTTTTTTGTGAACAATGACATAGCTATATGGAGACTTCCGCCGAGGTCATCCCAAAGATTTGCGTTTCATTCTTACTCAAGCAAGGCTCCCAGCGAATGGTGGTTTTACCTCAGAATAAGCCCTTGCCTGGGTTTTGATGCCTTCAGGGAATTAGTCTTGAAAGAAACTTACAAGATATTGGTTACTTTTATTGCACACATCCAGATTTTAGTTTTATTGTGGCATCCTATATTGTAACTGTTCTGAAATATATGTCTGCTCCTATTTTCTTTTCCAGCATGCACTGCCATTGGAGGACAAAGAATATAACATTTCTTGCAAGTTAGGCAAATTCTAGTTTTATATCCAGGATGTTAACAATGTAAATATTTAAAGAAATTATTTCATTGCAAGATAATTAATTTATTGATATCACATAAGCTGCAGTTAATTCATAGCCTGTCACCCTCTTAAATCTCTGTATTGCTTTGATTTCTTTTTTTCAGTCTCCTTGAAGAAAACTCTTGCTATTTGACTTTTTTTCCAGACTGCCTGGGAACCAGAGCTCCTTCTTCAGATGAAATTATTAAATTAGCAGAAGCAAATGTCTTTTGGTCAGTTCAGGAACTGAAATGCATGGATGCAGGGACTTTTGACAAAAATGTGGAACTTCTTGGGACTGTCTCAGGTTTTAACAACTCCCAGCTTATTGCCTTGAAGGAAAAAGCCAAGCAGGTAACTATCCTGTCTGTGAAGGAAAATTAAATCCATAATTTGATTTGCTTTTATTGACCTATGCAGTTCTAAAATAACTGTGCTATGGCAATATCACTACTGCTGCAAGAATATCTATTGTTTATTGGAAAAATAATGTAAGATGGTGATAGAAGACTATTGCCCTTGCTTTAGAGTCAACAGGCAAGTAGTTCTGAGCTATTGGCAGCTGAAAAACTTAATTGCTTTTACTTTTGAATTGCTTTTCAGTTGCTTCCTTCTCACTTTTCTTTCATAAATGAAAAATCAGCAAACAGTACTACAGGCTGTTGATTGGCCTGCTGAGAATTAAGCTCAGTGTTAAACTGTCTACATCAATGTTAAATATAGTTTACAGTGGTGTAAAACCAGACTGACTGGAAGAGACTGTTATTAGCTGAACAAAGCTTGTTCTCCCACCTTCTTGTCACAGGCAGGGAAAAACCCATCAGTGGGAAATTTTAGGGAGGAAAAAAACCCACATGCATTTAGTCTGTCTTTACTAGGATGTTACTGGTGAGTGCAAGTTACGGAAACACAGAAGAGAGAAGACCTCTATCTTTGCTAGGCTGTAGATTCATGGAGAGGAACAGGGCTGTTAACCTCAGCTCTCATCACCGCTCCTGCAGCACCACTGGCACCTCTTTCTTTCAGAGTGCAGCAATGCAGCTCCTCTTGAGCTCCTCAGAGAGGTCTCTGCCCTGGGCTCAGCCCATATGTGATGCCATGCTGCAGCAGCAGTGCAGGAGGCCAGGACTAAAACTTCTGCCCGTCTAGCACTGCAGCGCAGGATCTGTGCTAGAGTACTCAGGGCAGAGTGCTGTGCTGGGTGCAGTTCAGCACGCTGTGTCTGGGGCAGAGCATCAGCAGGGTGTCTGGGCTCTGAGCAGCACTGCCTTGGCCAGCTGTGGGCTGGGAGAGAAGTCAGACCTTGCTCCATCCCTGTTGTCGGTGTTGCACTCCTCCCTGGGGGTGACCTCCTCTTGCTGCTTTGTGGTTGCCTGCACTGCCAGGGAACAGGTAGTGTCCCAAACATACTTCTGTTTCAGCAAGAAAAAGCCTTAGGGTGCAGTAAGACAAGTTGTTTTGGTTGCAGAAAACTCAGAGGTGAAGAGGTTACCATCCCCAGCCTATCTTCAGCTTCCCGGCACCAGCATCTGCTGGAGGTTATCTGCTCTCTGCCTCCATCTCTGCATGGCTAGCTACTCTGTAATCCCTTTCTGTCAAAATGATCCAACGTTTTAAAAGTCCTTTTTAGGCTCCATCAGATCATTCTGACAGAATGAGGTTAGGAAGCAGCTACAAGTGCAGTTGGCTGCAAGTAATACGAGTGCAGATGCTTGGAGATGAGAGGGCTGTGACCTCTGGAGGAAAGCAGGAGCAGGGGACAAGGTGGGCCTGGGCAGCATCTCCTTAAACCAGCAGCTACAGCCAGAGTAGTGGAGCTGACCATGACTTTTGGGTAGATAAGGCCAACAGTGCAGTTTTTAGCAGTGAAGCTCAGCTTTTAAAACTCCTGAACTGCAGGTACTCGAAGAGAAGTGGCACTAACCAGATTTCCGAAAGCAGATGGTGACTCTCTGCAATTCTGTCTCTGCTGCCTTGTTGCAGTAGGACAACAGCCCACTGTATCAAATGCATTCTTCCCAAGACAGCTTCCCTGTGTCAGCACGGAGACATGTGGGTAGGAAAAGGGAAAAAAAAAATAATCCTAGAAGAAAATAAAAACAGTGTTCATCTGAGATAGCGAGAACTAAAATATTTTACAGCAGTGCAACATAATGGTATACTTACAGAGTGATATCTGTTGTGGAGAAATTGCCAACAAGGTTAATACACTCATATCCCAGCTATATTCAATTCAAAGATACACAGATCTGTAGTGCACTGAATGAAAGTATATTCTGTCTGTGTGAGTGTTTGTAAGACAGGTTGCTGCTAGACAAAGACAGACTTCCTATATATTAATTTGCAAAATGCAACGTGGTGTTGCACTGAACGTGAAGCATGAGAAATCAGACAGTACAGGCAAAGCTCTTTGAAATTATGTGCATAAGATGCTGTTATGTTGTTAACTAAAGGGCATCTTTGATTAAAGGTTTGATTAAGCCGGCTTTAATTTCTCCTAAATTGATTGATTTCCCCTAAAAGAAACTGCATACTACTCATGGTCCCAAACTAATTCAAAAAGTCTGGTTATCAGATTGTGTCTTAATGAAAGTAAGAAGCTTAGCTCACTTGTGAGTGGAAGGTCTCCAAGCTCTGCGATAGTAACAGATGTATGGATCTGTAGTCTCTAGGTGAATGAGGACAAAGGAGTGTTTCAGTTTCACGTGTTGTGTTATTTATATCATTATGTCTGAGATTTCATCCAGCACTGTCAGATAATACTGTTTATGAAGTACTTCAAATTCTGTAGTTCATGACCTAGATCAGGAAATAGACACATGACATTTTTAGCTGCATATGTTTCCTGTATCTCTTAAGCTAGACAATTAAGAGCTTTAAAATTGGGCTAATGCTTTTTACTATCTATTTACTTTGGAAAAGATTAAAATTTCCCAGGCTTAGACCCTTTTTCTGTTTCTTTATGACATCGTAAAACCAACATAAAAGATCTGGTGGAAACTCAGTCAGGAGGTACAGGTCCAGCAAAGCATCTCTTAAACAAATCCTTAACCCGAGGGTCATAGTTGAGAAAAGCACCTCGGCAGTCCTGAGGCTGTTCTGTGTTGGATATGCACGTTGGTATGAACAGCAGATAGTCTGCAACTCTGTGTAAGGAGTATCTTATTCCAGAGATCTGGCCCTTTTTCTTTATTTTATGCAGGTTGTACAGCTTCATGTGTATCTGAAGGTGCAAACACTATTTAGTAGGCAACTGCAGAGATATTCCTTCAGCAAGTCCTTACTAGTTTTGACCTTTCTAATTTTTTGAACAAAAGTTAAATTGTAGCTATCCTGAAAATGGAATGAATATTTCCATGAATAGGACAGCACAAACGATCAACTTAGCCCAGGACTGGGCTTTTAGTTTTATTTTTCTGTGTGGAGTTAGCAGCACAGCGTACTAGAATGTCCTAGAAAACTGTCGTGTATTGGCTGACATAAAGCAAAGTTGCTGGAGTACGAGACCTTTAAAGGGACCTTTTTTTTTTTTTATGTATGCCTGTACAGTTCAAGTCACTTCCTGCAGCCAAAACCCAGTGTCTTTTTTCTGTAAAGACAGTTGGCCACATCCTGAGAGATACTGACGACTGACTACTGTCTTCTATCATTTCCAAGTAACTGTAATTGACAGTTCTAGCCTCTGCAAATTCAGCTCTTGATAGACTTTCATTATTCCTTATTCAGGCAGACCTTTTCCTGAAATCAAAATTTTCTTAGGGCTGATCTGTGACAGCTTTTGAATCACTGTAACTATATCACAGGTAAAGCTAAAAGCAGTGGAATTTGTCAGTTTAAATACATTGGTACTGGTTTAGAAGAGCTCCTGCTTATTTCTTTGTTTTTACAGAGCTTTGCAGATTTAACTGTACCTGTACAAATACATTTAAATGTTTTTTTTTTAATATCGTATGCACGCAAACGAGAAATCAGAACTTTAGGAATTGGCTATTTGTCTGTATTACCCGATTCTCTACTTTGATTTCTGCTTTCCTTGCCAATGACTGAGCCAGAATGACTGGTCACAAAAGCAATTTAAAGTCACTCCACCGGAGCGATTGCAGTTGGTGTAGAACCCTGGGTAGTCCAGGTGCTGCTTTCACGGTAGTGGTGCAACAGTGTGGATCTCAGCACAGACTTGCATTTTTATTGGTTTTAGTGGTACTTGCTCCTTCAGCAACACTTCCAGCAGTCCCTGCACTGACTTATCAACAAGCTCAAGCTGTACAAATTGCAGCATTTTTAGATAAACTAACCATTATGAGTGTAGAACCTCGAAATCCTTCACAATACCTAAGCTCTGCCTTTTGTGTGCAAAGAGGCATACTTTGGGTACTGGGACTTCTAAAACCAAGGGGTTTGAGAATGGTGTATACAGAGGAAGATTCATAATGATCTAACAGATGTTAATGAATCTCTTCTAAAGGTTTGGGGATCGCTGCCAGACTGGAAGAGTTATCATATTGTTTCCCTGGGCCGCATTGCTCTGGCACTCACCGAACATGAAATTGAAGAGCTGGATTTGCATTCTATCGACACCATTTCTGTACTTAGTCAGCAAACAGAATGGACTCTTACCCAGGTAAGTATGTTATTGAATGTACTCCTGGTGAAAGGCTCTGGATTCATGCCCTTTGGGACTGAAGTCCTGGAATTGCCTAGGAAACAGATACAGCAATCCACGCTACTCCCTGCTGCTTTTCTGCAGCTCTGACCCCAGTGAAAGTGGTCAGGTAGGTCAGCACTGATGTCTGCCTGGCTGCTGGCTTCCCTAGTGAGATGGCCAAGAGGACATCAATCAATATTAGTTGTGGTCGTGACGAGTGTATTCTTTAGCACTTGCCCACTAAGTAGTAGAAAGAGGTCAGCCCCTCCTCTCACACTGGCCCCATAATAGACACCGCTGCTAGGAGATATTAGCCCTTCCTAACTAAGAGTAATCACTGAAGAGGTAGTGTGCCCCCACCAACCCCAGCAGCCATTGCCTTAGAAGCCTAAGTTATTAGCAGATATGCTCCTCTCATCTTCCTTTCCTTGAATAACTTCTAGTTATGCCAGTGGGACTTTCATAATAAGAGTTAAAAGCCTTTATTTGTATATGCAATTGGCAGCATACTTCTGACTGTGTGACCCATACCATCAGGGCTCCTTGATTGCACAGATGCTGGCATGGTTGCAGCCAGCTTTGGCAGAATATCACAAATCTGGTTAATAGATCCTTGTTCTGAAGAGCACTACCAGAAGGAAGCACTTGGGAGGATTTTATACAATACTAGGCTTTTGAGGTTTCCTGCTGTCAGTAAGAATAGCTAGTTAAAAGAGATTCATCCTGCCTAACTTCAGTTGTCTAAAAGTTAGACAGCTAATTTAAGCTAGTCATTTGAGGCTCAGCATTGTGGATGGATTAGGAAATCTTGGAAGATGCTTGTTTCTTTCACTGACTTTGGAGGATGCCTTGGTGACAGGCTTAAGCTAGACACGCAATTTTTAAGTGGTTAGTTTAGAATGAGCACCATCCTAAATGACTTAGGCTTGCAAAGGCATTTTGGTACCAATTCATGTCTGAAAATTAATCCTAAACACAGGTTGCCACCTATATATGACACTTAAATAAGACAAGACAACCTGAGTATTAGAAAACTAAAAATTTCATATTGATCCCTTGAGTAATTGAATTGGGCAGTTCTGCTAAGCGCTTCAACGCCCGTTTCTTCTGGTGAAGTGTTTCCTTGTGACCCAGCAGAAGAGGTACAGAGTGCTTTCAACTCACTTGCACTTGGGAAGTGGTTGTGTAACAGTGCCCTTGTTTAAGTGTCACATGTAGGTGGTGACAGTGCTCCTCCTGAAGGCCATGGCAAAACTCCAATTAATTACACTGGGGAGGCTCAGGATTATATATGGTCCGTAGCTTCTGGTAAAATTTTGAGCTTCTAGTAATAAAACCTTCAGTTATGTTTACTCTGTTCATGCATGATAATCTTACTGCTTTTGTAGGCAAGATCTATTTTGCAAGGTTTTCTAGAAGACTCTGGCCAGACGATCAGTACACTGAAAAGCTTTGATTTAGTTGGATTAGGAGCTATTCTCTGTGCTCTGAACTCCACAGAGATCATGTCCATAAGGACTGCTGAATTCAGGTACTGCATTTGATACTTAATGAAATATTTCTTAGTATCTCTATTGATAAAATTTATTGTGTAATTTGTTTTCCTTCAAGATTTCCAGAGCCAAAAGGACACTTTTTTACATTTTAAATGCTTTTAGAAAGGCAATAACTGTTATGGAAGGCGTACACTGGTTGTTTAAAATATATTCGACTTTAGATTTCCTCTGCCATTTATATCCCACCATTTAGGTATTGCATTGAGAAACTCAGTTTTTTGCTCAAAGCATTAAACATTTGTATGCAATTTGTGTGCATAGATTTTAACTTGAAAATGGGTTTACAGTCTTCTTACAGCAGACTAAGTATATTCCAGGCATCTTTAGTATTGCATGTAATTGCAGCATATAACGTTAACCTTATTGCCTTTTGCAGTGCTGCTGTTGCAAGGATTGGGCTGTTGTTCTGTAGCACCCCTGTTCTGAGACAATTTAAGAAGATGACAGAATCTGTATTTAGTACTGCTACCAGCTGGAACGGCTCTATTTTACAGGAGATTGGTACTATAGCAGGTAACAAAATTCAGACTTCAGATGGTGATGGTTCTGAAGTATTGTTATTAAGCAGTAAGAGACAGATTCATGTAGCAGTGCATTTTTCTAGACTGGCAAAAGACATTTCTTCCAGAGGGGAGTCACCTGCAGGAATGGACATCCATTAGCACTAAGGAACAGGGGAGTCACCTGCAGGAATGGACATCCAGCAATTTCATTAGCACTAAGGAAAAGTCATGGTATTCTCCATAAGGTTCTCTGAATCTGCTCAAACCAACTTTGGGGAGCACCGCCTGAAGTCATTCGGGTCCTGTAAGTTGGAAAGATTAAGTCAAGGAGGGCAAAACCAACCAGGATTTCAGACCCAGTCGCTATTTGTGAACCGTGCTGCTACAAGAGTGGCTGGATTGGGTCAGAGCAGTGCTCTAGCTGACTGAGCATCCTGCCTCCAACAGTGGAAAGAATGGGCTGCCCAGGAAAGAGCGAAAGAGCAGGGTTAGCCTGGAGTGGTACTTCTCCAGAGTGCTCTCACAGCCTCGGAGACTTCCTGAGCCAGAGGTCACACACAAACTTGTTCATGGATTTTTTTCCCTGTGATCGTTTAACTGCACGTTGAACTCTCATAAATTTTAGTATCCCCAATGCCTGCGGCAATGATTCCACACTGTAAGTACCTAATGGGTGAAGAAGTAACTAAGTAACTCCCATTGCATGCTTATGCTCCCTAATCTTGCATCAGAAGAGGCCGCGAACAAGCATTCCCTAATAATGCTGCTTTTGATTTTATTGATTTCTATCATTGTCTCTTTTGTCTCTTTTCCAAGCTAAAGTAACTCAGGTAGAGTACATTCCATACCAATGGTTAAGGTCAGATGATTTGTAATGTTGGAACATAATGAAAGAAACAAACCAAAAAAAGAACCAGTATCTCTCTCCATAACGCACTAAGTAAATAATTTATTGGATATTTTGTATAAATGCTTAAAATTTGTATTAGCCTAAAAACAAATCTAGTAAAAAGAATATTAACTGAGTTCTGTTCCTATTGTTGTTTTTTTTTAGGTGGTTTGAATGAGGATGAATTAAAAGCTTTTGATAAAAACTTGATGCCATATTTCCAGCCAATAGCAATAAGACATATACCTCCTGAAATTTTCCAAGTAAGAGTTCAATTACTGAAGAAGTAACCAAATTTCTATTGTTTTTACTCTAGTATAAATAAACTGCAGCACTGATTTATAGTTCAGTTTTGCATTTCAGAAAGAATTTTTCTATGGTGTGTTAAGTGAGAGGCAGTCACGAGTCTGAAACATTAACTTTCAGCTATATCATCTGTATTTGTGATGCCCATAAAATATACTAGACAAGCTTTATTTATTCTTCAGAATGTGTCCCAAGAACAAAGCAAAGATCTAGTGTCAGAAAGCAGGGAATGGACTCTCTTTCTTCCAACACTGTATTCAGATCTGAGTTTTCTTCTCTGTTTATTAACATTTGCAAGGATGCTATCACAGCTAAAATTTCTCTGCTGACTATGTAAGGGCTTATTTATTATCCTAAAATCTGGCAGCATTCTCCTGAGTTAGCTCTGAAAAACAGATTGTACAGGCAAATATGGATCAGAAAGGAATTATATCTAATTACAGCAGCTCTGAACGTGGACCAGAAATTAGAACATGGATCTTGAGCTCATTGCCCCGGACTTTATTTGACTTAGTGACAAGATTAATATTCTGCCTAGGCTGGTCTCTTTCAGATGCTCGGGCAAGCAATGTACTTATGGACAGATGAGCTAAACAGATAGTTAACTGTGTCAGCTTCCATAAAAGAGAAAAACTCCTTGAACACTAACTGTTCTGCACAGTACCATTGACAGTTTAGATAATCCTGAAAGGTCCTTAGTGAAACTATTTCTTTGAAAAACAGGCAAAACGGAAGATCTATGGCATCTTGTAGAATTTCTTTCAAATAGCATACATTTTTGTTAGCAATAATAGTAATGATACTACAAAATGTGCTTAACAAATAACAGGCACCTTCTTGGAAGAGTTTTCTGTATTTGAAAGATTCAAAGCAGATTTTGTTTTTACACAGGTTTTTTATATCTTCATTTTATGGCTGTATACATTATTCAGATTTTGATTTATGAAAAATTACATTGTATTATGAACTTAATTGAGTTAAGAAGAGGCTCAATTCAAAATTTCTGAACCTGTAGGTATTTACATGAGTTTACTCGGTTTAAAAGAGCACGCCATTTGGTAGACAATGAAAAATCAGGAAGGGTTTGCTCCATTGTCTGACTTACTTGGAAGGGGAATTAGTCTTTCTAAAGTAGAACCTGGATGCAGGATTGTTGCAGCAAAGAAGGCTTGTTGTGTAGGAGGGCTAAAATTCTTGTGACTGCAGAATGTTAACTAGAATCAAAGCAATCCAGCATGCCCAATACATGCAGGCTTTACAAACTAGTTAATTGCTATGTGATATAAGATAATTACTGTAAGATTATGATTACCATGTTTCATTTTTAAACACAAGTTTTAATATGACCAAACTTGGAAGATTTTCAAGCTAAAAGAGAAAAATGAATAATGAGTTTAAAGCATGGGGTTTTTTCATCTCATTGCTCTACTGCCAACTCTAATCAAAGGTCATATGTAGGTTCAAGTGAGGTTTCTTGGGAGCAGATGTAAGAAGAAATAAATGAAAACACAAGAGGATGCACAATGTCATCAGTCTTTGAACAAATCAGAAAAGAAGCGGCTGGAAAATTAAACTCCAGCAATATACTGAAGAAGTGTCCAATACAGTGTTAGCATAGAAAGGTTCTCAAGCTGTCACACCCTAGCAGCAAAGAGAAAGGTGAAAGATAGATGAGCGGTCAGCGAAGTAAATGAATGCAGAGGATTTTTTTTTTAAGCTCTATTGAGCTCTTTTATAGCAACACAATGTTAAAGGCTACTTCCCCTCATTCCAAATGCAAGACAGTACTGACTTCTGATTCCTTACTTGCCTTATATAATTGACAGCCTAAACCAATTTTTCTGGCTTTTATTCCTCCCAGACATTGTCCCCAGAACAAATAGCAAACCTGGGCCCTGAAAATGCCGCCATGGTTACCAGATTGCAGCGTGAGCATCTGAATGCTTCGCAGCTCCAGAGCCTTCACCTGGCGCTGGACGGAGCGAGGACAAGCACCCCAGAGACACAAAACAGTGCAAGCACTACCCAGGCGGTGCAAACCCCAGCTCCAAGTGGTGAGTAGAGTCACTCCTCCCTCCTCCTGCTTAGAGGGCAAGGACACACACACCAGTGGGGTGTGCAGTCTTGCAACACCCACCAGGATCAGACCTGTATTTTGAAGGTGGGTTACAGTGAATTTTCTAATCGACTTTTTAACTCATGCCTCAAATCACATGCCTGACCATGACCATCCCGACAAACAGCAAGGATGTTGTTGGATTTACCCACAGCAAGAGATAACGTTGTCAGATGGCATTAGCAGCTATATGCCACTAGTAGCATTACACTATGCTAAGCACTAGCTTGTGTAAAATGTAGTCTGAAACAGTGAGCTTTTCCCTCTCCTTTCCCATATTCTTTGCCTAAATTTAAGGCAGGGCCCTCCATCTCTGGACCTTTAGATCACAGCCTTTATCTGCAGCAGAACCTTGTTTGCAGAGCTGTCAGTGGGAAAGGAGGTAGCACTGGGGTGGATTAGTGTCTTTATCCAGACTGTAGGACCCCTTGAACAGTTTTTCCTGCTGTTCCCATCCTATTTGGAATTAAAGCCTAGTAGTACCTATGCTTCAGAGGTTCAACATTTTACTTCTCCAAATTGCAGTTTATTCTGGGCAATTTATGCTTGCAAGTTTGTTAATGTACGTTTTACGAGTGAGAGTTTGTACATAGTCAAGCCAACGTTGAGAACTTATCCCTATCAGACAGCAAATATTGTTGCTTCCAGTGACACCAGCGAGACACAAGCTGTTGAAGAAGAGAGAGGGATGTTGAGGTGCTAAAATAGGAGTAAGGGGGACTAAATTGCTATGATGCCCTTGCTGGAATTAGAGCAGACCTTCCCAGAAGCACCTGAGCGGTGCTGTCAGCCCAGCTCCCTCATGCGGGTGACCTGTTCCCTCTGTAGATATGCCAAAGGGAGGAGTTTTCTGGGTAAAGATCACCTGAGTTCTTGAGCTTCTTGTTCATTATTTCTATCTCTAGTGAGTACGACCCCTATGAAATGCTTCTCTTCAGAGCTGTGTATGTTAAACTGGAAGTGACCATTCTGACCGGTGTCGTCTTTTCAGCCGCTGAATGTAATTAGGATTCAAATCTTGGCATTTGCTGCACCTCTTTGGGGTGTTGTAGATAAGACTGTACTAGACCTGAACTATATCGTGACACTAAGACATAATGCTATCTGCTTTTCAGGTGCTCCTTGTTTGAGTGGCTTGGGCATCTGGTTGTGTGCTGTGTTTACACTGCACCTGCCTTTCTGAATCCACAATTGTTAAGCTTGAGGTAAGTTATATTTTCAGTAAGAGGTAGCTTTATAACAGAAACATAGTTCACCTGTAACAGTGAACAACACAGGGTGAAGGGCTGTGGGACCCCCTTCCTGCTTTGAATACAGAGGTAACAATTTCTGAATAATATTTCTGTATTACAAAGGTGTCTTGTACCTCTGTTAGACTATTTTAGAATCCAATCAAGGGGAAAGCACTTTATCTTATCTTTACTGTAAAGCCAACCTTAACAAAAGTATATTTAAAATTCCATGTAACACCAATCCATTACTGCATTGTTATTTGGAACGTGTTGTTGGTATTAATCTGTATTTTCCCTGTTCCTGTCTATTGATAAGATTTTATTCTACAACCACTTTGATAATCCCCAGTTAAAAGAATGTTGCCATTAACTGTCATTGGATTTTACAATTTTGACAGGCTAAAATTTAATGAGAGCACTGGTGGGCTTAAGATATAAATTCCAATTAAGCAAACTAAATGCTTAAGTGTTCTACTTAGTCTTTTAGACAGCAAATCAAGGCATGTCAAAAGACTTAGTATTTTTCTTTGCTTTTTGATTTTCAGTGTCCCAGAGCTTACAAAGGAGATGCTAGAGATAAAGAGTTGCAGCTCAGCATGAGTAGTAGAATCAAGGGGCTCTGAGATGCCTGGATGCAAAGTGGTTAATTTCTTAAAAGCAACAACTCCATCTGCCATCATGATGTGAAGTATCCCCTTTCCCTACCTTTACCATTAACAAGTAACACAGGATCCCTCCAAATACTTCAGACAGATTTCAAAACTGGAAATGGCTTATCTGTTTCATGAGAAAATCACTGAAAGATATGCTTACGTGTTAGGGAGGAGCCTGAATGACCTAGGGGACAGGTAGCAGGTGACCGTTATTTGGAGGCTGATATATTGTACCCAGTGCTTTTTACATTGGCTAATTTGGTCACGCTATTGTATCCATCTATTGGGTTTTCTTCTTATACTTTGAGCGTACATTCCTCCGGACAGAGGCTATCCTTCTGTGTGACGTAGTAGAAACCATACTAAAAGTTACTGCTGTTGGAATAAAATAACTTCATCTCTGGGCTGCTGGTTTAAATCCTGCTCAGATAAGAAGTGATGATGTGTTCTTATAATTTAAGCACCTGTATGAAATGTAGTTCCCCATGCTGTATGCATTCACCACAGAGCTGTTGACACAGAGGGCATTGGCAATACTATTAGTATTTCATGTGAAAAAATGCACCATGGAAACCTGCTTATGTTCATCACGAGATAGTCCCTTTGCTTCAGGCAGGGTTGAAGTGTACACCTGGGAATAGTAAGGGAAAACTGTTCACTGGGTTTACATACTACTAGGACTGTCAATCCAGTACATTCCACAAGCTCTATAATAACGAATTTCTCATAATTATAAACTACAAATATTTTCGCGTGTTTTATCAACATATGGCTTACGTGTCTAATGTTTTTCATGCCACGCCTCAGTATTTTAAACAATGGAAAAACAGATATATTAAAAACCCTCCGCATGTGAACATACATTTTGATGTCATTCAACATGATTTCACGCCAAGAATGCATGGTACAGTTTTGCATTTTGCCATTGCAAGGTCTTTATCTTTTCTAGACTAAAAAAGGCAGTGCATAGACTTAAAAGTTTAGCTTTGCCATTTAGGGCTGTACTGTAGTAAATACCTTTCAAACTTTTATTTGTATTTCTTTATGGCAAACATTACATCTAGCTTCTCAGCACTGAAAGCAGAATTGAAATTTTGCTACAGGTGGGGAAGCAATAGGAGTGGGGCTGAGAGGGAGAGCTGGAGGGAAGAGGCTTGCTGCTTTTGCTGCTGCTGGGGGAAGGGTGAGTGTTAGCTGTTGCTGCTGTTGGGAATAACAGCTCCCACCACAGTCCCATATATTCTGTAATTCCTGCAGCAGCAGGAGCCAACCTGATTTTCAGGGCTTTGTTATTGGCAAAGTAGGCAGTGTGAGCATGGCCGTTTTTCACCCCCTCCTGTTCCCTCTCCCCCTTTAGCAATCTGCTGCTCTAGGAACTGCCTTTGCCTATAACTAACCCTGGCAAGTGTGACATGATGTTACAGATAATACTACATGCTTTAGTTTTGCATTTTATGAGCAAGGAACTACTATTGCTGCAAACTGCCTTGCACCTTTTTCTCTAATGTTAACGATAAAATTCCAGCTTTTCCCACTGTGTTTCCTTTTCTGCATGTGAACAGTAGATTGCAACGTCTATTCAAATAGAAAAAAAATTGTTTTATCAATCCCAGCAAATACATGCAAATGCCCACTAAAACCAAAAAATGCTTCAATGGATCAAATACATTATAAAGATTTATCTGTTTTTTCACATTAAAAAGTTCTGCCTCATTTAGATGTGAAAGTACTAAAAGGTTGTTTGATTTCTAGAAATTGCCTGACTTGAATTCTGTGTGCACTTCAGTGAAGATGCAGAAGAATATTTTCATAGTCAAGATGACAGTCAGAGTTTCCAGTTTATTTGTTTGTCAGATACGTGACTTAGCTATACCAAGCACTTCAAAAATCTCTATGAGCTGAAAATGATCTTCTTCTGTCAATGTACCTGGGAGTGATTCCACCTGCAATTATGTGAGTCAGAGTTTAGCTTTTAATTGGAGCAGGAGCGAGCTCTTTGTTTTGTGCCATCTGTGCTGTAATTTCTTTCAAGCACAAGTGCTTTTAAATAGCTGAACTCCTTGATTATTTATTTATTTTATTAAATTAATAATTATGTTAACTTTGGCATTGCATTTACATTTGGTCAAAGACATATCTATTTCTTACAAGAGCAGTGTAGGAAGGGTAAATGTGGAGCACCCACTTAATGTTGTACTTATTTCATGGCAAGATTACAAATCCTATTTCGTTCGTAAGATGGTGTGAGCATCTTGGATGGTGAGTATTGTAGAAGAGCAATTTTACTTTTGCCAGTGTACCTCTTGTAAAGGTCACCGACAGAAAAACACATTCTACAAAAACTGTGATTCATGAGACATCTCCCTCAAAACTGTTGAAACTGAATTTCTGTTGGAAGAATAGATGGAAAGGAGAGAAAGAGATGGAGAGCGCTAGTATGCATGGTGTGTAATCTGCTATCCGTTCACAATCTGACACACTTCCATTGCTAAGAGGAAACTGAAACATGTACACTTTCCTTCTTACTCCTGTGAAACAAACCACAGAACCCCTTAATGCAGGCATCCATGCCATAGGATACTGCTAGTCATACGGATCTGTCCCCTGTGCATATGTATATTACATACAAAATGCACATGATCACTTTCACTGGAATGCATTCATGGGAAAAATGTCTCGGTCCCTCTCTTTTCCCACCATCAAGAGTTTAGAGAAGAACATACTACAGAGAAATGTTGTATAAAGATTTCTTTGATCCTTAAAGAAATGTTGCTGTTTGTTGTAGAAGTGGGTAACATTTGTTTAAACCAAGCTTAATTTTTCCTATATCCTTTTAGTTCTAACATTTACATTTGAGAATGAAAAAAAAATCAGATTAATGCATAAATCTGCTGTTGAATATGTATCATGACAATCATTTTCTTATCCGCATATTGTGAGAATTGCAGCTCTCCTCTCCGCTTGTGACTACTCTGATGGTTGCTAGGCACTGCCGTACATACTGCAGGATATACATCCGACTGTTGACAGTCTGACATAACTCTGGTGTCAGCCTAGCTCTTCTGAGTGTTGTGAACCATGTGACAGGTGGTCCTGTCCAGCAGTGTGTACAAGGAGGTATTTCATTTAATTAATTTGATTGGACGTAGGATTCTTAAGGGGTTAACAGATGGGAAGAAATACTTTATTGGCTTATTATTTCAGGGCCTGACACCTTTATATTCAGAATAGTGTTTAGAAAAGAGAAAGGGGCTACTAGTTCTGGATCACTGACGGAGAAAATATCCCTACCACCTGGTACTGAGGAAATGCCACATTTCTGGTATCTTTAAATCCCTGAGGATAAGAAAACAACTACCCATCCACAGTGTCTGAAAACTGTCCCTGTAAAGCTGGCATTATGGCTGTTGTCAGGTTTTGTACAGTACATGGAATGTTTGACTCCCAGTGGTCTCAATCTGTCACATCAGAGCTAACCAACTCCTATCAGTGTGAGGCTCTAAAGATAGCACTTTAAAAAAAAAAATGGCATCCTTCTTTAAAATTAAAGTTAAGAAGCCCTTTATGTCTCTGTATAATCTGCTCAAATACTCCAGAGGCAATTATGTACTGCATTATGGCAGATTTAGCTTATCACTTGACTGCTGTGCCTATCTTTGGATCATCACCACCTGATTTATTTTCCCATAACATAGATTGCAGTCCCATCATACTAGACCGGGACCTTGTTAGAGTCCCATTTTCTGCCCACGTTGAAGCAGATGTGAGACGTGCCTCCCAGGTGTGCCAGCCAAACGCACCTGAGGTTATGGAGAGGTCAGACTAACTCAAATGACACTCACAAATAAGCAAGGAATCAAATTGTCGCCTGGAATGTGTCACTTGAGCAGGTAATCCCGTAACATTGGCCATAGTGCACTTGCTGGTATTCTAGCTCTTCCTGCGTTGTGGGTATGGATACCACATGCTGCTTCCGAGTGTATACGCAGCCAATTAGGGCATATCAGTCAATGAACTTGTTAAACTGGTGGTACCTTGTTCCCTTGTGATAGGCCGTCTTCCTTAGAGAGAAGTAGAAGTCAAATTTCAAATCATCTCTTCCTCTTGTTTTTTTTTGTTGGTTTTTTTTTTTTCCCCCTCAAAAAAGGCTGATATTCTAGGCTGGTACACAACTTTAAGCAATGTGGTCTCTTTATCTCAGTGAAAATGTTTTTGATAAGTGTGTGGGTTTGTTTTGTTTTTTTTTTTAAAAAGCAAGATCTGCAGATACATGGGCCTAAGGAGGGCTAAGAACCTTTTTTTACTCCCTTTTAGTCCTGATTAGTAAAATATTCTCTCCTGTGTCATATGATGTGGGACAGCCTTGTGGACTGCTTACTCCCACTGCTGTTGAGGTCAGGGATTTGACTTCCCTTTCCAGTAAGGCAGGAAAGAAACCGGATAGAAAAGCGAAGAATAAATATAAACTCTAATGTAAGTTAAATTTCTCTTATCGGTACCCCAGAACATCTGAAATTGTTCCTCAGAAACAGTATTTTGTGCATTGTTATACAGCATGCTTTTAAAAGTGCAGATAAATGACAAACTTTTCAGAGACCAAAATAAATCTGTGTACCATCCAGGTATCCAGAACTTCATATTTTGGTAAAGTGTCTGGTCCATTATCAGACTATCTTTCCATATCTATCTACTCAGTCCCTAAACAGAGAAATTATGAGACTAGCTCATATACTCCACCTGACCTTGTCTGGTATCAGGACCTGTAGCAGTTTTGTACCACAGGATATTTTTATCAAAATTCACATCTGGTTCTTTAATTGTACCCAGAAATAGATAGTCCAGAAATGTCTTAAATTTTTTCTGCAATGGGTAGCAAGCAGCCAACGTCTTTTCCTGCCCTTTCCTGTTCAGCATCAGTCTGCTTTTCCGATCCAGATTAATAAGAGGATTT